ACTGAGTAATGATTTTCAAACTTTATGAAAATATTTTATATTACCATTGATATTGGCAAATTTCTATTAAAAGAATTTCAAGGTTTTGTGTGAGTGACATGCCGACGTTTTTAAAAGTGGAAAAGGAAAATTATTTTAAAAGTTTTTTAAATAGTCAGTTACCCATAGGATGGTCCACCTAGGCTGTAGTTGTTAACTCATTCGTCGAATTTTTGAATAAACGATTAATCTACCAATTTATATCAGTGAATATTAATAAATAAAGACTTAAATTGCTCAAAAATCCTTAGTAGACACATTTGATGAAAGGTTTGATATGAGATAACTAGTGTTGTAGACCATTATTATAAATGAACCCACTGAAATAAATTCTTTCTTAAGAAAAAGAGATATGACATCAATAAAAGAAATGAATTTATTAAGGTAGAAATCATAAATGAATTTATTGAAATAGAAAATATAATATCGGTGGTACTTGGAGACAAATGCACTAAGAACTGAAGTTAGTGGTACTATACCTCATAGATTGTAAACAAATCAGAAGTAGAGGAAAATTGCTATTTAAATCTGAACCTTCGGATATTTTACTTGATCAAAAGAGAATTATTTAAATTTTAAGAAATCCTTTGTGACTTGAATTAAAAAATTGGAACTAATGAATTCCTTGTATCTGGTATGACTAATTGGTATTGTGATTATGTATAACTGATGAAAGGAAAATTTCATGAAGAAATTTCCAAGGAAAATGGAGATCCAAGAAATGCAACTTATGTGGCTCCCTATGTGGCTATGGTGATGATTGTTTTGCATTGAATAATATGAATATAATTAGATTTGATTGTGGGATTGGAATATAATTGTGATTTGAGGGGCTACTGGATTAATATATGATCTTTGGTTGGAATTGGTTTTAATGATGTCATAATGTGTAATCACATGAATTTGATAAAGAAAAGGATAAATCTAGTGAAAAGAAACTAGTGAAATGAACCGTGAGGTGATTGATAAGAATTTTGACATGCCAGCGGAAGGAGAGGAAAGACCTGAACTAAGTCAAATCTAGATAATCACATCATGTGGCCTTGTGCTAACCTGAGAAACTAGAGTTGATAAGGTTAAAGGAATAAATTAAAGGAAGTTATAAATACCTTGCTAGACTTAAATAAGAGAAAGATTAACGAAATAAAGACAGGTGAAATAGATAAGTTGATATTATATTTTAAAACTTTGATGAAAAGTGAAACAATTAGTCTATGTATTATAGATACTAATTAGAGATTTGTTATTATTTCATAATTAAGGCATGAACTGAAGTCCCATATAGAAATGAATAAATTATTTAGTTGACAGAGAATTTGACGCCTATTTATTTGATGTAATATTTGGATGGTAAGGTAACATAAAGTTGGGACTTAAGAAATTTCATTTAAGACTTTTATATATTGATAGGTATTAGGTAAAATGTAAATAGTTGGGGTAAGTAATAAATGTTAGGATGAAATATTGTTAACGAGAGAAATTACTATTAATGATTAATAGTAGATGGGGAATAATTAAAAAGTATGCTTCAATATTCTTAGGATGAATTAGTAAGCAACATACGTGAAATAGAGGATTGAAAAGCAAAAGATGTACTATAGAAGTCAACTTTTAAAGATACATGTTAAGATAATTTAAGGAATAAGTGGTAGATGTAAGTAAGGCGATTAAACAGAAGGTGAGGAGATCCCTATAGAGTAAGATAACTAATAGTGCGGGGATGTCCTTAGTAAATAAAGTATCTAAATACTTGCGCTAGCATACGATAAAATATTATAAGAAGAATAGAACTTGTATAAAAAGAACTGCTACTGTGAACTTGAATAACCCTGTGATATTATAGACAATTAAAATTACAAGAAAATTTTCTTAACATTTTGGATTAAAATAACAGTTTCTCAATCTTGATTAGCAAACGATTTAGTCATAACATATGTAAATTAAATGAATCAATTCTTATTATACATAAAATGAATTTCACATTGTTTTGCTTTTGTAAATATTATTACTATTACGTATTTATTGCTCAACTAGGTTAATTGAAAGATATTGAATTAAAGATCGATTTTCTAAAGATTTCAGTAACTGTTCGATTATAGTATTGGAGATTTCGGTAATAAAGTTAATAAAGTTTCTTATAAGCTTCAGCTAGGTGGTACTATGTAATGTGAATGAAATTTTAGTCTAAATATGATTGGTGGTAGAAGTACAATCAGAATACCCCACTCATTTCGTTTCCTTGATTTGTATTTTTGCTCTTGAGCTGTCTCCTTGGTATTAGAAGTAATTTCTTATAACTTTAAGTTTCCCATGCATCCATTCTTATTCTTTCCCACTAAATTCAATTCGAGGATGAATTGTCTTAAGGGGGGGAGATTGTAATACCCCGAATTTTTATTTTCAAAACTTTTGAATTTTTATTAAATCAAAAATTACAAATTTTGACCGCGTGGGTTGCAAATGAAATATAATCTCGATTCAAGCCCAAATTTTTGAATTGGGCCCAAGCCCAAAAGAGAATATGCGGAAATTTTTTATTTGAGAACAGTTAAATTTTCAAGAAATAATATGAAACACCAGAACGAATCGACACCGGTTTCGACCAAACCATCTAGAAACATCCTTTTCCCTTTATCTTCAACGCTATCTCCTTCACTCTTCACCATTTCTACGCCATCGCAAGCCCACCACCGCACCACCAACAACCTCCCTCTCTTCTTCTTTTTCTTCTTCTTTTTCTTCTTCTTGTCTTTCCTTTCCTTTTTCTTTCTTTCTTTCCCTTTTCTCTTCCCTGCAACTGGGTCTGCGTCACTGCCAAGCGACTGCCCGCAGCTCCAGCAAGCCTCGCCTGACCACCGGATTGCGCCTCTGCCGCCGCTCCAGCGTGCCTCCGACCAAGATAAATAGCTATAGAGCCTCAAAAAGTGGTAACGAATGCAAAGTATATTTATGAGGTTAGGATTTTTATACAGGATTTTCTTTCTAGATGTGTATGAGCTCTGGGATGGTGAGACAAAAGCTAGAAGGATGCAGTACTAGAGATAGTCCTTTAGAGGGCAATAAAGAACTGTGAGTAGTGTTAGATAATTCGCCTCATCCGCCTGCATTCATGCATTCTCAGCTAAATGTTATCATGCATTATTTTATTGAATTGCCATATTATGATGCACTATTTGTTGATAGTAAAAATTGTTTGATTACTTGTGCTAACTTGTGCTCATGAATATTACTGTGCCTTGTTTGTGTGGAATTGGGATGAAGTTGGACCACCATACACACCGGTTTGTGGGCCGGCTACTTATATGGCACTCCACCTGAATATGATAACATGCAATCACTTCACCAGACCGCCATCCGGCCGCCGCACACAGACAAACCAAATGGAGAACACACCAACACTACACCCACACACACGGCGACGGCCCCCCACCAACACACACTGTGTGCACCTGATGAATGGATTGTATGGAAAACCCAGGATGGCTTCTTGGTTGTTTGCGCACCTGATAATCTAGATTTGGATTGTAGCCCCGCAGGGGCCTCATCTGTTGTGCGCACTTGAATGAATCTAGATTGGATGGCGACCACGGGTTGCCTCCTGTGGGTATGGAAAAGAAAAGAGAGAATGAAAACAATGAGAGGACTGGTCAGTGAGGATTAGTACCAGTTGGCCGTATGGGGGATTCGCTTCCCGGTGCAACATGTATTGAAGAGGGCGAGCCATGTGTGGGACGGCTTTCGTTGGGGTTTCAGGTGGTGGTGCCACTGACTAATTTCCACGTGATGTGATTATATGAGGTGATGATACTTGTGATTGCCTTGTAATTGCCATTTGTGTTGACAAACTGGCATGATCGCATATATTAACGTAACTAGATAAAATATTTAGCATCTGTGTGATTGTGTGGGGTGAGAAGGGTTATCTAACCCCTACTCATTGAGTTTGGCGCTCACCTGCTACTATTTTTTTTCAGGTTATGGAAGAAATAAACGCCTTGTGGAGTTGAGACACTTATTGTAGAAGACTTTTAATGATTAGAAAATAACGATGTAAATAATAAGGTAGAGTCCGCAATTGTATTTCCAGTTGAATAAATAGTAAAAGTCCATATTAAATATATGAACTGCATTTTGAGTTAATGGGCCTGAATCTATAATTATGAATAGAAGGTGAGATTTAAATAAGTTATGCTTACTACGGGCTTCGGGGGCCTTAAGCCCACCCAGGTCCTAGTGCCGGTCCGGTCCATGGAAATGGGTCGTGACAACTTTCTTGGATCTGATAATCCTAAAACTCACATCAGCCCATTTCTCACCTTCTCTCTTCCGCTAGACATATTTTCTTCATCCCTCTCTCTAAATGGGTATCTAAATGAGACCAAATCCCTTCTCGCCATTATCAAATTTGTCCCAAACACTCTATCCAAGATTGGGTCTTTCGCTTTAATTTCATAATATTATCCATTCAGCACACCTATAGAAAAGGACATTTCCGCGCTGATTTTCTTACTAAAATAGCCAAGAATTTCAATATGGAGACGCACTGGTTGGTGGAGCCTCCTGCGGGAATGAGTGGTTGGCTTATGCATGATGCAGCGGGTGTTGATTATCCCAGATTGTGTTTGTGACTTTTAGAACTGCTGCTCTCCTCCTTTTATCAAATAAAAAATAAAAAATAAAAAATTAAATACATTTCATTCCAAAATTTCATTTTAAATTGAAATTCAATTTAAAATTTCAACTTTGATTGAAATATTAATATTTTAAATCAATTTATTAACCAACACAAGAGCCTAATATGAATACTCATACGCTACCCTAGAGCGTTATATAACTATGCTAGTTTTCTAGTTTGGAATACGACTCCAAATGTATTATTGCATTTCTGTCAATAATATTTCTTCCACTTGAAGTTTAAAAAAAAAAAAAAAAAAAAAAAAAAAAAAAAAAAAAAAAAAAAAAAAAAAAAAAAAAAACATTGGCAGCCATTAGCCAACACATCGCCATCACCGTCAGTCTAATCAAGTTCTTTCCCTATCAGTAACCAAAAGACGACGCTGTCCGCTAGTCTCTGCAACTATATATAGTTAGCATATAAGCGCTACCAATCGACTTTCATCCCGTAGCTAAACTCTACTGAGTACTGGGCTTACAGGTTACATCTACAGAGCTACTGAAGAAGATGGCTCGAGGAGTAATTGTGGATGAGAAATTCTGTTTCAAAGAGGAAACCGACCTCACAGTCCACAAAACATCCATCTTCTTTCCCGGAGATGGATTCATTGTCTATGATCCCTACGGCGAAGTCATTTTCCGATTCGACTCATACGGTCCAAATTCGGAGCCAAAAGACGAGCTCGTTCTCATGGATGCCACCGGTAAGTGCCTACTCTCTCTTATTCGAAAGAAGCCGAGTCTTCATCAACGGTGGGAAGGGTTTTTAGGTGAGAGAAAGGAAGATGATAATCATATCCATCATCTTCAGGAGCCAGTTTTTACTGTTTGTAGATCGAGTATAATCGGACGGTCTAGACTGGTGGTGGAGGTTTGTAGCGATCCAAGTGAGGAGTATCAGATAGAAGGGTGTTATGCACAGCGACGGTGTAAAATTTACACTGTTTCATTGGGGGATTCGTCAAAGCAAGCTGTGGCCGAGATTAAAAGAAAAGTGGACCCCTCAACTCAGGTGATGCTTGATAAGGATGTGTTTTGGCTTTGTGTTAAGCCGGGGCTTGATGCTGCGTTTGCGATGGGATTGGTGCTTGTTCTTGATCAGATGTACGGTGATGATGATGGTGCGCGCCAAGTAGATGATCCTACCTGATAGCTTTTGGATCTTTTGAAATAGTCGTTGAGAAAAAAAAAATAAATAAACGAACAAAAATTTAAAATTACTATTTGTTCATGAATGTGTATTATTTAAGCCATTGTTTTAATGGAAGAATTTCAGTATGTTACGTGGACACTCCGAAATAGATGACGGGTGTGCTTGAAAGGAATAAACTGAAAACGTGGCATATTTCAAAATTTTCAATAAACATTAACCCTTGATCAACAAGATTACTCTTTTTAGATTCAAATTTGTTAAAATCTCAAATTTTCAACTAACAAAAATTTATTAAAATCTCAAATCGAATTGAATTTTTTGTGTGCCATGCTTGTTATGTAATCAAATTTCATAAATTTAAAGTCACCTAAGAATTTTTTTTTTTTTTTTTAAAGTCACCTAAGTATCACCTAAGAATTTTTTTTTTTTTTTTTCGTTTTGTGAAGCTTACCACGCTAGAGGTGGATTTTTATTTTATTTTTTCTGTAGATTTTTATTTTATTTTATTTTATTTTAAGAAAGAGTAAATATTATCACAGAAGAGATTGCATAAGTACAAACAAATTACAGCCACAATTAACATGTTACAAAAAGAAAAAAAAAAACAAAACCTTAAACTGTTGCTAAAATGCATCCCAACGAAAAATTGTTGTCGAATCAAGATTCATGCAAAATAAAAAACACAAGACAAAGCAAAAAACAAAAAGCAAAAAAACACATGCTAAGGCGACCTACTTGACCAGGCAAATAAGGTGTAATCTCCAGCGAAAAGGGTTTCTCCGGCTATCGGTGCAACAACAAAGCGGGGAAACGGCGCTGCAACAGAGAGGAGAAGGAGAAGAAGCTGTTGTGGTTGCGCAAGGCGACCGAGGGTTTATAAAACCTATTTTTTTGCGATCAATTAAAAATTCGGTCACAATTTTTAATTCTGCGATGTCGTTTTATTGTTAGACAAATTGCAACCGACTTGCGATCAAAATAATCGGTCGCCAAACCATAGGTCACTAAGCCCTTGCAAATCGAAAACTAAATTTGGCGTTAAACTGCAATGCGTAATTTTGTGACGGACTTTGAAACGGTCGCAAATCCGTCGCAAATTCAGTCGCAATGGGGTCGCTAAATGGAAACCAAACTGACGGGAATTATTAGAGCTAGAATTAGTGATGGATCTACTTCCGGTCGCAAGTCTGTCGCAAATTCTATCGCCGTTTGGTCGCAAATCCGTCGGTCGATATTCAATCTCCCAATCATCGTAATTGGTCGTAATATCATCACAACATTGGTTGGTCGCAAAAGCGCAATTTTTTTTTTTTTTTTAGTGATCCTTTCTTGTGATCAGTTAACGAACTTGGCCCAACAACTCAAAAGGCAACAAAAGAGGTAGTCCTATTCCATTTCCTTCTTGGTTCTGATCCTTAGCACCTACCCAAGTATCCTAGCAAGGCCATTCATTGAATTTGGGTACAAAAAAACTGAAAATTCCATTGGCAAGGGTAATGGGTGATGCTTCCTTTGCATAGCCATTTCGAAAGAGCGGGTAGCAGGGACATCAGACATGGACAGTATAAGTGGGAGAAACCGTGCAATGCATTGTCATTGATGTGTCAAAGGCAGTGATTGGTCATTCTCAGCACAGGAATGGATGGATTTTTACAATGATGTTCTTTCGGTCTTCTCTCCCCACTCTTTTTAATTTTAGACATGAGATTAACTTTAGTCTGAGATTCCATCTACAAATATTTTTCCACCGATCCAACTCTTTATCTTAATAAGATGGATTATTTATTTATTTTAATTTAAAAATATATAAAATTTTAGACAGTTATATGTCCACATGTTTATCTTAGTGAGTTCATATTCATTAAATTTTTCAATAATATGAACATCAAAATTACAAAATAAATATTTCTAAATTAAATTAAATAAATGACTCATCTGAAAAATATTTCTAACTCCGCCGCTGATGATAAGTGTAATATAATTTAAAAGCAAATATGATGTACAATTAATCGATTAGATTTTGGATCGAACTAGATTAAATTTAAAGCTAGAGTTTCATTTTTTCTTAAATCGAATCATATTGAAAATCGAACCACATGGTTTGGTTTGGATGATGGTTTCGATTTCAGGTAAAAACTAAATTTGTCGAACTTTTTTTGTTAAAGAGTGAACATAGACAACTAGATTAAAAAAATTATAAAGGTAAAAAATCTCTCTCAGAGTTTGCTTTTGAAATTTGAATGTAAATGAATAAAATAAAAAACAAACTCATTGATTGAATGAATAATAGAGTTATTACATATATAAGCTTAACAAATGTGTAGAGAAATGCATGTATGAATATTGGAGTGGGGGTGGGGATACTTACCTAAAGAGCGCTAGACTACCGTCTATATTCCCATCTTGTTAGAAGAAAAAACAGAAATATATCTTGTCTTATTCAAGATAGAACCACGTGAAAAAATAAAAATTGTTGCCTCATTTCCATCGTATTGCAGGCAAATCCACATAAAAAGACACGGAATCCTAATAGAAAAAGAAGAAATTGAAAGAAAGTGCAAGGTGAAAATAAGAAAGATCATTGCTTTGAAAAGGAGGGAGTGAATAAGTCAAGTGATGGCATAGGAGGAGGAGGAGGAGGAGGAGGAGGAAGGACAAGAAGGTGTCATAGTAGTTTGTGCCCATTGATGTACCTAAAGGGACGAAAATGAAGGAAGGGAAATATGCAATTGAAATGCATAAAGGGGCCAACTTTTTGTTGTTTAGTTTTTGACTAATTACAAAATTAAATAAATGAAAAAGAGAAAAGAAAACCAAAAATGACCAAACATACTTTCACCAAAAAAAATGAATTGATGAAAAAAATATGGTAATCTCTCTAAATTATTGGGCAAGGCAAAAGTTATGGGAAAGCAACTCTTTCTCTCTCTTTTCTTTGTACTGCTCCCCAGACAACAAAAAGAAGCCCCCATTGCAAACTGGAACTTGATTTGAAAGAAGAGGAAAAAAATAAGAACTGAAGTGACCCATCTATACGTGTAGTGTGCTCTCTTTATAAAACCTTAAATATCTCCCTCCTCTCTCTTTCTCTCTCTCTCTCTCTCTGTCTTTGTCTATCTCAACTATAGAGAGTTGCCGGCGGAGATGCCGAGGCCGGGGCCGAGACCATATGAGTGCGTCAGAAGAGCTTGGCATAGCGATAGGCATCAACCCATTAGAGGTTCCATCATTCAACAAATTTTCAGGTTCTAGGTCTTGCTTATTTTTACTTACTTTCTTAATCCAAGCTGTTTTTTTAATGTTTTTTGTTTCTTTTTTTGTGCATTTTGTGACTGTGCACCATGTGTTTGATTAGGGTCGTCAATGAAACTCATAGCGTCGCAACTAAAAAAAACAAGGAATGGCAAGAGAAGCTTCCTATTGTTGTCTTGAAAGCTGAGGAAATTATGTACTCTAAAGCTAATTCTGAGGTATTTTGGTTTCGGTTACAGATTTTTGGATCTTTGTTTTGTGTACTCTGTTTTTACACTTAGGTTGCATTCATTTGTTGCTTAGGCCGAGTATATGAACCCAGATACATTATGGGATCGTCTGAATGATGCTGTTAATACCATTATTAGAAGAGATGAGAACAGTGAAACCGGCGAGCATTTGCCTCCTTGTATCGAAGGTACTTACTTTTGATTCGCTTTTGTATTTCTTGGATCCAACTGAAAATTTATGCTTCTGGGCTGGTTTTTATGTTGCCAATGGGTTAAGACTCTAAAACTTTGATGGATTTGGATAAGCATGTGTAGTTTCAAACTTTATTTTGACTTGCAATTAGAAGTAGTTTCAAATACGTGTGTTCAAGGTGTTAAAGCATGCATTTTTGCCCAAATGTTGTTTAGCTGCCCTCAACCTAGGCTGCATTCCAGTTAGAGCTTCAAGAAGCCAACGACACAGTAATCCCAGGAGTTATCTCAGCTCGAGAGTGCAAGAACCTGCTTCGGCACCACTCAGAGTCTTGGAAAAAGCTAATGATAAACAATGCCCTCAGTTAACTTCATTTCAGTCCAGCAGTCAGATAAACTTTGCAAGAAGCACTGGGGCTGTGAATTCAGCATTTCCGGTTTCAGAATCTAACCTTCGTTTGACTGAGACTAGTAATGTTGCTGCTCCTTGCAGTTATCCTTTAACATACGAGAATACTTCTCCTGGTCGTATTCAGTTGATGACACAGGACACTAACAAACAACTGAACTTCGGTTCGGTTTACCCTTTGTATTATGGAAATAACTTTCACATCAAACAGCAGCGTTTGGTTTCCCAATTCCCAGAGAAGACGAACTCAAACAATATAGTTGTTGGTAAACCTATAAGCACATCAGTTAGAGAGCCTGCTGAAATGGGTGTCCTCCATGACTTTTTCTCCTGTACTGGTGCTGAAATTTCTGCCAAGAGTATCTCACATGCAGATATGGGGAATGGTAATAAGAAGCCATTGGGGACGCAATGTGATTTGTCATTACGGTTGGGTCTATTCGCTGACCCCTGTATGAGCGTGGAAAGGAATTCATTTCAAGAAACTGAAGATGATGGTTCAAGCAGTTCTCTTGACAGGGGTAAGTTTAGTGATTTTTGTCTACACAAGAACAAGGAGTTGCGTCTTTCTCCTAGTAGGAATACTGATATTATTTTTGAGTCCTGTCCAATTAAGCAGTCTTCAGTGGGAGAAGATGAGAATTTGGATACAACTTTCAGAAAGCGTAAGGCACCATTTAGTGACAATGTGGAGGATGGACAGTTTTGCTGGCAACCTGAGTTTCCTTCTAATCGGTTCATTGGTCGAATAGAAAGGCCAGGTTTGTAGACAATGTTTTCGTGTTGTAGTGTATACTCATCGAGATTCAAGATGTCTCAATTACGCTGGTCAATCCATTTTGCAACCTATTGGTATGTGGTTCTGATCACAGAGACTTACACACTAAGTTGCTTACTGTGAGACTGCAAGTCGGGACTTAGCAAAAAGGTGAATTGTAAATGAAATCTGAATTTGGTTCTTATGTTAATAGTTGGAGAACATACGAACTCAAGACACTGAATGACTATAACATCTAATTGAATTTGACTAGTTTATAATGAAATCAGTATCCCAATATGTTCTCTACATGAATAGCTTCTGTACCATGCAGAAATCACCTTGCCAAATTCCTAAGTGGATTAGCGCCACTGTAACAAGTTCACTAAGTTTTTGTTAATTCAGATGTTGGTCTCAACATTTATTGTAAGTTAGCTGCAGGCCATTATAAAGCTCTTTACATTGTTCCATGGGGGAAAAAAGGAAAAAAGGAAAAATAAGAGGTTCTTTTTCAAATAGTTATGTCCACTTAATGTGGTGGGTGTGGAAGATTTGTCCAATGTAATTTCCTGAAGAAAGGGCATGATTTTCATTGTTCTTATTTGGCAATTTTAGATTAGTAGGTGCCAGATAAGGTTCTGCAGGTTAATTGCCCCATGTGATGTGAATCGACTGTTGTTTTCCTTCTGTGTATATGTAAGAGCTTGGTTAGGTAACTAGCATGGAAACTCAGGATGTTTATATTCTGAAGAGCAGTCTAAATTCTGAAGCAGGCTGTCATGGAGAGAGAAACCACGTGAGAATTTGGAAAGGTATTATGTCTGTTGTTGCCTTGTTGGTTGTAAGCGTGATTGCCATGTGATTGGGTGTTTTACATTCCACTGACTAATTTGAGAAAGTTTAGTTGGTTATGATGTTTAACTGTGCGAACGGAAGGACTGTTTGCAATGGAAGAGGCAAAGTTGATGGAATGGTGGAAATAAGTGCTTTCTCAAAATCTTATGCAATGCCCATTTGAGCTTCTTTCCTTGACTCTAGGTAGTGAATTATTACTAGGAGCTATAACTTTCCCAGTTGATATTGTAAATGCACGTTTGCAGCTTAGTTTTGGTAGAGTTCATTATTGTTGGTAGTATGTATAGATGTAGAAGAAGAATACTTATGTGGAAAGCTCTTTCTTTTTGTGTACTTTTTATTAATTTTGTTTGCAATGTTTGAAGCTCTAAAAGCAATTATTTATGTTTTTACTTATACCCTTCCCTTTCTTGGGTTAAAGGAAGGTGGGTCTCTTTTCTGATGGTTTATATGAGCCAAAAGCATTCAATTTTACCTTCTAAATTCAAGACTTCTCAAAATATTAAGGTCAGTTGGTAACTAGTCATTTAAAATGATTGAAGTCTTGGAATTTGACCTTTTGTTTAAAATTTGTCTGATTTTACACTTGAAACTTTCAAATTACTAACTATCCAAATAGATCCGGCTGCTGGAGGGGTGTTAAGAGTTGTTTCTGTTGTAATGTTCTTACTTCTCACACACATGTTGAAGAATGAAATGTTCTCTGGTAGGGCTAATTTAAGAAAATTACGCTTGCTTTATAATATATTACTGTAAAATATAAATCTTTATAAAGTTTGAAATCATTGACTAAGCTTCACTTTTTTTCTTCATTACTTATTTTGGTTCCCCAATAAGGAACTTGTTGGTTGCTATGTTACCTCCAGCACAATTATTCTGATGACATTAGTTTGTCTGATTTTTACCTGCAGGCCTCGTTGTAGGGGTGACATTAGGGTAGTTAGACATAAAAATTGTGGTCCACAGTATGTGAAATATTACTTTTCCCTGAAATATATGGGACTGGCCTAACAGTTGAAGTATGTTTGTTGTTTTTGCTATTTGTTTCACAAATATATATGAAATTTTTTTTAATATATTTTTATTATTTGATATTTTAAAATAAAGAATAGATTGTTACAATAATAAAAGTGATTCTTTTTTTTTTTTCATCAATCTGTTTCCTAATATATATAAATTTGTAGCATAAAAATTCAAAAATCTAAAATTAGAAGCAAAATCATATCACACCAAAGGTGAGTAATTCTCAGTTTCTAATAAAAATTGAAGCAAACTGATTCATTTAGTTCAAATTTGCATAGTTATTTTAGAAATTCGGTTACTGAAAGATATGGATACATAAAATTATTTGATTTTCGATTTTGGTTCGGTTACCAATATAATTAATTGAATTTATTTTTAAAGTCAAAATAGTTAATTTGGTTTAGAATAACTATCTAAACTCAAATTATTTAAGATAAACCTTTTTTTAATAATGGTAGGGCACTTGTGGGTACTTATAACCAAATTCATTTAATACAGTGGATAATGGGTATGTAAAAATCTATATTTGTATCATACTCATAGCCGTACTTTCATTAAATGAATCGGAATGGAGTAGATATTTTAAAATGCTCGTTCTGCTTCCATCCTTAAGAATAATTGAATTCAAATTGATTTAATTCGATTTGAATCGATTTTTATATCATTTGGGTTTTGAATTCAATTACCATGAAAATATATTTAGATAGAGGGAATTAAGCTAATTAGGTGGTTAATCTCAAACTTTAAAAAAAATTTATGTATGTCATGTTTATATCTATACTATTTTGGGATCTAGATTTGGATATTATCTCTTTATTTTTTTTTTTAAATATTGATAATGATGGGAAGAATTTCCAACATAAAAAAAAAAAAAAAGAAAAGAAAGTCTACGATTTCTTTTCTTTTATCGGATGAGTTATACAATGGGAAAGTTGTGCGTAGGATGAAGCACATAGTGAATAATTTAGAAAGGACCCATTTGAACTAGTGCACATCACCTCTCCACACCCTCTGTCTCAATAAAAAATAAACATTTGGAGTCCACATTTTATCCTTCTTTTCCTCTCCCCCTTTTACCCCTACTTTTCTCCCAACCCCAACCCCCTTTTTTTGCTTGCACTTTGTCCAAATTTTTCTTGGCATCAATGAGCTATATATATAGATATATGCATGCGGTGTGCTTCAAGGCCTCATGCATGCTAGCTAGCACTTGAAGTTGAATTTTGATGCAAGTGGAAGCCAAGACACGTTCCTTTAGGTTAGAAAGTGTGTTTTACCATGATGATATCTGTTGTGGAATTTTTCTTTTTTGAAGTAATTAGTACATACAATTCTGACTGTATTGTTAGACGTAGCACATCAATCTTGAGTACCATTTATTTTCAAATGCGTGTATATATGTTATTTCCAATATTATTAATAAATTCTTGATAAAAGAGTTCAAAATGAACCTAAAGACATGTCTGAGGGGAAAAAAAAATTGTTTTTCAATATTAGTGCACCGTACTCGAAAGGATTATATTATTTTGAATTTATTGGTGTATAAAAGTATATATTTTTTTATTATGAACTTTTTTTTATACATCATAATTTTAAATAAATTCTACAATAGGGGTAGTATGGAGTATCTGTCTCTTTTTTTTCATAAATCATTTCTGTTCTTTCCAAAATTTAAACCTAAAACCTCTTAATGAAAATTTGAAGTTTTCATGATTAAGTCATTTTTTAATTACATGATGAAACACAAATATTAATTACATGATTACTCCATAAACAATCCACTAATACAAATACATCAAACAATACAATACAATCCACTCTGAACATTAAACACTCACAAAACAAACAGCGCAACAAATTAAATAGCAGTGAAGAAGAGGATAAGTATGGAGGAAATCAGAGCAACAGCCAAGGAAGTAGCAGCAACGGTGAACGATGGAGCTGCGGAGGGAGGAAGTGCCGGCGGTGCAATTCCATTTCCAACTTTGACAGCCACCTTCATGCCTTGTTCGCAGTGGTTGCCGACGGAGCAGACAAAGTAACGGGTCCCATTAGAGGCAAGAGGGACAATAACTCCACTTGTTACTATTACTATTCCTGTCTTTGTGCAGTTATTATATTCCTCTTCGTTTGCTACTTCTGTTGCAGTGTGTGTGCCAGTCCAGTTGAACACTGTAGATAAAATCAATTAATTAAGTTAAATTCTTATGAGCATAATAATAAAAATTAATGTAAATTAATTAGCATGAGCTTACAAAGGGAGTCTCCAATCTGAAATGTTTTGTTGTTAGCCCAATTCTCGTAGTAGCCAACTGAGTTGTTGGGAGGTACAGTCCATCCCAAATCGTCTCCTACTGTATATCTTGTAGCAGCATTTGCCCCTTGTAATGATACTATTATTGCCACTGCAACGATAAAAAATCCGGCAGAGCTCATACTCCGGCTAGCCATGATCGGTGTTAGTCAGGTTGGTCGCCCCTGAATGAAATATGAAACTGTAGCTTGCTCTTTAAAATTTGGAATGTAACTTGAGGAATGGGGAAGGAATGGCTGGTATATATATACTACATGGAATGCAAATTGTAAGGGACAAGCAACTTAGAAAGACTTGTTCCATTCAATTGTATCAATTATATTTTTTAAAAAAATAAAAGAATTACCACATTTTGAACACACTACGAAGTTGAATATGTCTTTGCAGAATTTTTCTGGTCAAAAAGTTATAAGATAGTTGTTAATTGATGAATGCTCATCATCGTTTACTAAAATTTTAGTTATGGTGACTATTAAATAATCATTAAGTATATAATTGTATCTTAAACTAAAATATATTGTATAATATAAATATTAACTAAACTTTGTAAAATAAAAATAAAAATTATTAATTATTTTTGAATAATTGTAAATATAATTATCACAAAATAATTCTATTAGTAATTGTTTCTATATGGTTGACATAGTTCATAATAAAATTATAAATTAATAGCAATTGATTAAAAAAAAAAAACTCCAAAATGTAATTGGAATAAAAATAAAAATTGATAGCAATTGGTTCAAATCACTATATATAGGGAACTTCAATTTTCACAAAGTAAAATTTCATAAGAGTTACTTCGTGGGAAGTAAGTATGATTATGTTTGGTAGACATATTGACTTCCTAAAAAATAAAATTATATTAATAAAATTTTACATATAAAAAATGTCATCAATAACCCTGCCATAATTTGAGTATATTAATTAAAATGATTCATTGAAAAAAATCTATAAACCACATTTTGTATATATTTGTCACCGTTGAACTTATCTTATATTCAATAGTATACAATTTTTTTACATGAGTGTTGTTGGCACTTGGAAAGGGAAAAAGATAACGGAGAGATATTGGTAGCATTAAAGTAAGGGTAAAATTGAATTTTTTTTTAAATTTCTACGGGTCAAGAAGTGCATTTTTTGGGTCGAGGGATAACTTACTTCTCGTACAATCAATGAAGTAAAAGTTTCAAAATTTTGAAAATTTTCATGTTTTTGAAAATCAAACAAAATGACATTCCTCGTTTTCTGAGAATTTAAAATTTCTAAACTAAGGTATCCCAACCGAACGAGTCCTAAGAATTAGATATGGACAATTAATCAACCAAAAACCTAGTTTCCTTCTCTATGAATCTTCTAATATCTAGTAGTATAAGTTTTGGTTGAAATTACGTGACAAAATCCTATCCGAAAAGAAAAAAAAGACAACACTTTTCATATGAACTTGGAGCAAATTGAGTAAATTATATTTGTATTGGCATCACAATAAGAAAAAGAAATTATTACTGAGAAAAATATCCACCATTTTACAACATCACAGCATGATAATCCAATAGAAAACACCAAATTGTACTAATTAATGTAATACATAGCCAAATTTAGTAATTAAAAGGAGAAAAACTGAATAAATATATATATGGTAGCAGAGGAGAATAAGAGAATTGAAGAATGGTGATGATTTGCAGAATTTGATGGTGGTGAGGATGGAATTCCATTGCCAACTTTGATCGTGACTTTTTGACCGAGTGAACAGTGAGTTCCTATCGTGCAGATAAAGTAGCGAGTGCCATTTGCAGGCAAATGGATAGTTACAGGACTTGTTTGATACAGTATTCCATTGTTTTTTGTGCAATTTTCATATTCTGCTTTTGATGATACTTCAAGTACACTGTGCACCCACGTCCAATTGAACACTGAGAAATATCAATTTTACAAAACAAAAAGTGTGTAAGAAATCATAATTAAGCATCACATGTTAATTAATATTGTGTTGTGCTTCGACTTTTTAATTTCCATCTTCATGTCTTTGCACTTTTTCTTTCTTTCTTTTTTTCTTTATTACCATAAACATGCATATAAAAGTGATTGAGAAAGCTTTTTATTAAATATTAAATACAGTAATATTTAGCGTTACATAAAAATTAATATAAAAATTTTCTATATCCGTTATTTTTGTTTTTCAACATTAGCTAATTAATCTATTAATATTAATTTTTTTGTCATTTTAAGTTAAAATCAAATAGTTATCTTTACTGAACAATTCTAATTAAACTATTGTATAAATAATTATGCCTTATTGTTTATACACATTCAATAAAAGCTCACTTACAACATCACAATACGATGCGTTACACTCAAACCTTCACCACAACATTACACAAAAAACAGTACTAATAGAAAACTTATTTAATGTTAAACATATAGCCAAATTTAGTAATTTAAAGAGAAAAACTGAATAAATATATGATAACAGAGGCGAATAAGAGAAGTGAAGGTAAGGCAGTATTTGCAGAATTTGATGATACTCCATTGCCAACTTTGATCGTCACTTTCTGACCACCTGAACAGTGAGTTCCGATTGTGCAGATGAAGTAACGAGTGTTGTTTTTCGGCAAAGAGACGGTGACGGGGCTTGTTTCATTGGGAATCCCATTTGTTTTTGTGCAATCATCATATTCTTCTTTTGATGTTACTTCAAGTACATTGTGCGCCGATGTCCAATTGAACACTGATATGTCAATTTTTATTACAGAAGAAAAATGTCTGTGAGAAATTAATTCATTTTCATTCATCAAAAGTAAAATATGAGATGGTTGTATGAATTGCAATCATTCAATTTAAAAGGTTTGTGTTTTAAGCTCAAACCTCAATTAATATCATCATTAGACAATTTATACAAAATTTCTGAGCAGAAGGTGACCCTGACTATATACTCTCTCTCCGTCCCATTTTATTTGCTTGTTATTTCTTTTTTAGATATCTCAAAATATTTGCAAAGTTTCTAAATTTAGACATATAAATATTTTTCCGATAATAGCCATTATAATTGTTCATTCAATTTTTTAGAGTCTTAATGAGTTATTAAGAGTAAAAAATAGCAAAATAGCTTTTATTAACTAAATTCTTAATATCTATATTTTGTCAAATCATATAATCAAAAATCAAAATGAAACCAAGAAAGTATATTCTAACCAAAATATACATAAACATTTGTGACCCAATTATATATTCTAGCCAAAATATATGTAAAATTAATTGAATCTTTTAGAATCTTAATTAGTTATTAAAGTAAAAAAAAAAAAAGGGTAAAATAATTTCTATTAACTAAATTCTTAATATCTACGTTTTGTCAAATTATGTAAACAAAATGAAATGGAGAGGGTGTATTCCAACCAAAATATACATAAACATTTGTGACCCAATTATATATTCTAGCCAAAATATATGTAAAATTACATTATTTTAAATATTATTAGAAAAAAATTAAATTATTTTGGTAAATTAAAATTGTAAAATTCAGATAAGAGTAAATCTTAATCATAATTTTTTTTTTCTCCAAGACCAACTCAAACAATAATGAGATTTTAAAAGGAGAGACTCCTCGAAAAATCATAAAATTTCTAAGAATCTATGCAATTAATTAATGGAAAAAGAAAAATTAAAACTAATGGAAATACAATTAATTAATTAATTAATTAATCAAGCAATCAGTATAATTAAGCTTACCTAATTCATCCCCAGGCAAAAAAGTCTTATTGGCAACCCAATCGTCATAAAAAGACGTGTCTGTAGGAACTCTCCAACCCATAGCGTCTCCAACTGTGTAAGTAGTATTAGCTGTTACAGTCTCTAATAAAGCCAGTGAAAAGATCAAGTACCTGATCCAATCAACCCGAATACCCATTTTCTGTGTTCTACAGGTCGACCCTGCTGCTGTTACTTCTCTTGTCGGTCGCCCGCGTCGTCTGTCTCTGTGCAGAAAAAGAGAGAAACGATGGACTTACAAGCTTCAATTATATGTGAGAGAAGAATAGCAACAATGCTTATCCACAATCTATGGTCCTCACATTTTAGATGAATTATGTGTTACAGAAACATATAATTCAAGAAGTTGACAGCTACTTTTTGTTAATGGCTGTGCTTTGACGTCTTAATTTTTGTCTATCAGTCAGCGTCAGTACACCTTTTTAACTGTCTGATACTAATACTTTCCGACCTATAAACGAATATCCAAGCAAACGTTTCATACTTATTTGAGCGATAACAAAGAGATTCTCCGATATCATAGGCTTAAAAAAGTTAGCATTTTCAAGAAATATCTTAATAAATAAATAAAAATTGTAAGTTCTATAATTAATCACTTTATTTATTTAAATGAAGTTTAAAATAATAAAAATATTAATTTAATGATTGACAAAATAAAATATTTATATTTAAATAAACCTAGGATTGTTATTTCTTAAAAATGCATTGATATTTAATTATATTTTAAATATAATTAAAAAATAAAAATAAAAATTCAGAATATAAAATTAATTTATAATGTCATTTTATATTTTATATTTCATATATTTTTTATAAAAATATATTCTATTCTAATTTTATATTCTAAGATTCTATTTCAAGTTAAAATTTCAATTTGGCATGGAATATACCAAATCAAAGGTGTGTAGTACCTTGTTACGGCTTAAGCTTTTTATCCGAGAGGCGGGTCAAAGTTTTTCAGCTCACAGTGATACACTTGTCAATCTTTCATGGCGTTTTTCTCCTTAAAGCAGCAACTTTTTTTGGTTAAAAAAAAAGAAGCGACAACTTTTCTTTTCTCTCTATTGGCAATTTTTTTTTTTTTTTTTTTTTTTTTTTTTTTTTTTTTTTTTTTTTTTTTTTTTTTTTTTGTTCACCCACGCTTTGTTTCCCTAATACCTAATAGTATTTAAATTTATGTTTCAAACAAAAAAATTTTATAAAAAGCAATAAAATTTAATTTTCATAATAATTATCAACAAATGAGTGTCTCATTACATCACTGTTTGAAAATGGAATGGGACGGAATAACATTATGATTATATAATAAAAATTTGTCATTTAAATTGAACACTTGTGAAGTTTAGGAAAAATACAATACAGTCCCTATATTTTAGGGAATATAACTACTCCGTCCATATATATTTTTAGTTAGTCTAAAATTACTCTATGATTCACTTCCATCAAACAAAGCAGTCTTTTTGTTCAATTTTATGCCAAAAAAAAAAAAAAAAAAAAAAAAAAAAAAAAAAAAAAAAAAAAAAACCCTTTTTGATCAATGCAAAATGCTTAGTCCCAAAGGTTAGATAATACATTCCCATCAATACCCTCATGCCATCAACGTGAAAGGGAAGCAAATCTCGCATTTTCTAATTTATGAGTGCAAAAAATTTCTCTTCTAATAACTGAAAATTACTTTTTTTTTTTTTATATGCCATCTTGCAAATCTTCTTCTCACTCTGTATTCATAAAGACTAAATGATAGCCAGAAACCAAATTAAATAAACTATATATAACATCTCGAATTGTCATCATCTACTCTATCGATAACTCTCAAATTCAGTGAATTATGTGAAAGCCACATCACGTGAATGTTGGTTTGTATGCGTATAATATAGAATGTTGTAATATGTTGTATGGTTTATGGTGAATTTGTTACTTATCTTTTCTCTATACCAAAATGGTAAACCTTTTTTTTCTCTCTACGCAATGTACTTGTTGTGTGAAAAATAATTCGAGAAAATTAAATTGAAAAAACGAGGATTTTTTTTTTTTTTTTTTTTTTCCATCTTGCAATCTTCTTCTCAATCTTATTCATCTAATGATCCAACCAATAAATAACTATATATACCTTCTCAATGTCCTCTCTCTATACAAATTCAGTGAATTTGTGAAGCCACATCGTGATTTTGTTGTATTGCGTATAATTCGAATGTTGTATTGTTGTATTGGGTATTATGTGAATTTGTACTTTCTTTCTCTATACAAATGGTACTTTTCTCTCTAGCAATGTACTTGTTGTGTGAAAATATTGAGAAATTAAATTGAAAAAAGAGGAGAAACTTAAAAAGGAATAGTGCCGCTGCTTGTGAACTAGAAAGAAAGAAGGTGGCGAGAGAGAAGATGTGGGCTTGAAGGTGAAAGCTTGGTGGTTATGGTAGTGAAATTGGAGTTGGAGCGTTGAACAAAGAAGATGATGAACAATATTTTAGCTATCCATTGACTTATTATGGTAAATTTATATCGATTTAACGGGCAAATCTGAATAAATTGGACTGAATGACTCTCTTGTGTGATAAAAGTGAATATAAGATAATTTTAGATGAACTAAAAAAATACAGGGACTGAATTATATTTTTCCTTTAAATTTATAAAAATTCTTACGATGAAAAGAATATTAATCCGATAATAGATTTCACTCCTCGTATTTTTAAAAAAAAGTGAATAGATTAATTAAATCACATTTGTTTAAATTTTATCATTATTTGTTATTTTAATAAAATAATTGGATGATATAAGTTTCCATTTGATGGAATTGTCGGCATTAAGGTATAACTACTCCTATGACATGCATTTGTAGAAATTTGGAGAAATTTGATGAATGAGTTGTTATGCCGTGAACCATTGACTCTTTCGCGTTGGTGGAAAGATTCAACAAATTTGATTCCGTAATGTTGCAAATGAATCAAATGGAGTTTAGACACATTAATAGAGCATGCAATCAGTTTGCAGATTGTTCGGTAAAGAGGGGGTTGAGATAGCAAATCAATTCTTGGCTTGGATTTAATGATACTTGTTAGGGCTTTCAACGGGTTTCTTTACAAATTTTTTCAAAATTTTATGCTGGCTGACTACCATTTCTCATCTCAAGAAATGCTTGTATTTCAATTTTAACTTTGCTATAGATGTAAATTATTTAGGTTTAGTTTAGTCTAGTACAATATTGGTGTAATTTTATATAGAATTTTGTTTGGAATGTATGACTCGTTTATATGGTTTATTGTATCTTTTCATTGAAGAGGTCTTGATTAGGTTTTTTTTACTTAATATTTTCAGGGTAAGTTTGGGTGTAAGAGGGAATCTGTTAATTAGGATTAGTGCTCAGATATATTAAGTTTTTCCTCGACTATATATATAAATTAAATCAAATTAACTTTCTCATAAAAAAAACACTAAACACTAATCCCCAATCGTTAAAATAGAAAAAAAAAAAATCAAGTAGAGTGATATCACCTAACAAAAATGCAAACCTATATTTTTGGTGACCTAATTAAGCCATCATAGGTGACTTCATAAAATCTTGACACGTGTTAGCTATTACCTATTAATTAATCCGCCAACCAATTTAACTATAAGGAACATAATAAACTAATTCAAGAAAGATCTGAACATTGAAGAAGATAAAATTTAATTTAATTTAATTTTCTAATTGGATTTGTCTGTCGCCGTATCTATCTAAAATATTGAATTCGTGTAATCCAGCCATTGAAAATCAGACAATTTGCTGATAGCGATATAGTCATATAGGTATACAGTTTTGACAAATTCATATCACCAATGGTGACTCATTATGCAATTTTAAAATGAGTGAATAGTATTTAATGTCTCATTAATTCAGTAATATAATCCTTCAATTTTGTCACTATTGCACAATTTATTTTTTTAAATTATGTTTTTTAATTGCTAATGAAATGTTATTATTCATCTAATAAAGCGTAAAAAATAAATTACGATAAGAATTTTTAACAATTTAATGAGCCAAATAAATGACTCTCGATCTATTGGAGCTCTCAATGAATAAGAAAAAAAAGAGTGAATTACTACTTTAATCCCACCTCTCAATTTGATCACTATTATGCTATTTAATCTCAAAGTCATACTTAAATACTTAAACACATTAACAGTAAATTTAACAGAAGAATTAAGTGGTATAATAAAAATTAAATATAATTAAATTAAAAAATAAAGGTTGTATTAATGTAATTAAGTATAATTAAACGACTATTGGAATGAATGGCTTGATAAATAAAAAGAATAAATAAATACTGATTCATTTATTTAATATTGTATTTCTATGTTAATTGATATAAGAGGTCAAAATTTTAAATTTTGTTTCTATTGGTAATTGGAATGCTGAACCTCTCAATCGTAAATATAATTTTTTATTAATAGATCTGAAATTATTAATTAATTATATAAAATTATTTCCATTGCATTAAGAATTGCCAAAGTGCGCATAAAAAAAAACAAGTGTATATTATTTGCATACAGTGGTACCAAATGACTAAGCTGAAATGTGAAAAACAGCTTTATTAAATGAAAAAATAAGAACTCAATCTTCCGTGTATGAAAAATATAACCACATAAAAATGAATTACTCTCACACTAATACAAGAATTAATCAAAATTCTCCATCAAAACTAATACAAAAATGCTACAATGATAGAGAAGAAGGTAGCAGAGAGACCGGCAACGCTGAGGGATCTAGCAGAACTGTTCGGTGGAGGAGGGGCAGTAGAACCTGATGGAGAAGGAGAAGTGGTGGAGGTGCCAGGTGAAGGAGGGGCAGTGCTGCTAGCACTAACATTAACTGCTAGCTTTTGTCCAGCTGTGCAGTGGCTGGGAACGGTACAGATATAGAAATGTTCTCCGGCGGTGAGGGTGATTCTTGTTGGCGGAGTGCTGGAAAGAGAGATTGGATTTGCAGTATTGCATGAATCATAATTTTCCTTTGTAACCTCTGCTACATCGTGAGCTCCATTTGGGTAGTTAAACACTGCAAAAGAATATACAAATAAATACAATGAAATAAAACAAATAAATAAATAAATATATAAAAATAGGATTAGTTCTTACCTAAAACGTCTCCGGCGTTGAATGTCTTATTAGAAGCCCAGCTTTGGTAAAATGTAGCAGCGTTAGCAACCACAGCCCAGCCTTGGGTGTCTCCAACCGTGAAAGTCTCAACCGAGGACGGTGCCGGTGATGGGTTAGAAACTGGTGACGGTGATGGTGGCGTAGAAACTGGTGATGGTGATGGTGATGGTGATGAGGTTTGTGTAGAAACTGGTGATGGTGATGGTGATGGTGATGATGTTTGTCTAGAAACTGGTGATGGTGATGGGGCAGAAACTGGTGTAGAGGTAGAGCTAGGCTGAGGTGCCGGAGAAGAAGAAGGTTGAGGAGTTGGAGCAGTAGTAGTTGCAGCACTAACATTGATCATCAACTTTTGACCAGCACTGCAATGACCGTTAAAATTACAGAAGAAATAATGCCCTCCTGTTTCATTGATGGTGATTCTTGCAGGACTGGTTGATACCGACGAAATAGGATTACTGGTTGAGCAAGCATCATAATCCGCCTTTGTTACTTTAACAACATCATGTTGGTTGTTCAAGAAATTGAACACTACAAAAATTAAAAAAAAAGAAATAAAAATTCAGAATTTTGTCGCTGTGATTCGTTTTTAAATATCATAACTTTACAAGAAAGTATTACTAAGTACTGATGTTCTTACCAAGAATGTCACCAACAGCGAAGGTTTGGTTCGCAGCCCAGGAAGAGTAAGCTGAAGCTCCACCAGGAGGAATTACCCACCCTAGAGAACCACCCACCACATGAGTTGTTTGTGCAGCGGAGCTATGAATTAAAGCAGCTATAGAAATTAATGCAAGAAATGCCATGTTCAATCTTCTTGCCATTGAAATGTGTTCCTAATGGTCAGGTCGCCCCTGCTCTGTTTTTGTTCTGTTATGAAATGTAAGTCGCTCTGTTTTCACTCTGTAGGAAATGACTTTGGGTTTGTGCCCTTTGCTTTCCAATTTATAGAAAAGGGTCAACAGTACATTCAACAAATGAAGTATTTTAAGCCGTTGGATGGAGGACACGTGTTTGATTTATAGAATTTGATTAAGCCTGGTCTAAATATTATTTTCAAGGGCGGCCGCGAAATGGGACTTCCAGAAATTTTTGATAATTTGCCGCGTGAGGACTAAGAACTCACCAAACTTAATGACTTTAGGCGTTGACTAGTCAATGATTTTTATTTGCAAATTGTAATTAAGAGTAAACAAAACCAATAAAAAGAAATATTAAATATTAAAGTGCGATGGCATGGACCATCTTGGAAGAATCGCTGCTAGAGAAGGTTCATGCCGTAAAGGTGTAAAGAGAAGCATGTGAACATAGAATATATATACATATTTTTTTTCTAAAAAGCAAATTTATATATGACCTCTTATATGAGAGTTTGGAAGCCTAAACCAAACTAATTTTGAGCTACTTTACATGATCTATATGTTAGGAATTTTTTTTCTTTTCACACTGTGATACTTTAAATAAAGTCTTTTTTATTTTATAAATAAAATTCGCTTAAAAATATAATTCATTTTTGCTGATCCAATCACTTATTAGTGTCAAGGATCCAAATTAGAAGAAAAAAAAATGTAGATCAAACAAAAAAGAATATTTATTATTTTTTATGACATTATTAAAATTGATGAATTAATCTTCAATTCATCATAGTACTATATTTATCAATGATGGGCTTTGATGGAATTTAGTTAATGAATTGGAAAAAAATTAATTAGGCATGCCTCAATGTCTTTAACTTGCTTTTTCTTTTTTTTTTTTTCTTGGTTAAATTATATCTTCAATGAAATAAGTGGGTAGAGAATAGGAAAAATTAAACATATAAACAACTAGGATCATAACTTCATTTTTATTGTATAAAATTTTTTCAATATACCTTCTAAAAAAGAAAAACAATTTAGTCTAGAAGAATATGAACTATAAGAAATTTGTATATAGTCAAAATTCGTATGCCTCGTACATTTATTATCATTTTAAGAAATTTAGAGTCAATATTTGCTTAAGAGGGATTGTTAAGGAAGGAAGCGGTTAATTATTTATTAATTAAGTTTAATAACAAACAAGAAATCAAATACAAATCAATAACATGTATAATAAATGTAAAGACTAAGAGTCTGTTAGATAAAATTAGTTATTTTGATAGTTATTAATTATTTTAGTAGTGTTCAGCTGTTTGCTGTTTGAGTAATTTTTTATAAAACGTTAAAAGTTAAATGTTACATAGATTAATTTTTTATAAAACGCTACTTTTAACTTTTAAAGTTAGTTCAAATATTATATTACTTAATACTATAAAAATAGGACTTACTTATATAAAACATTCTTAATTTGTGCTTTTGTGGACCATAATCATAGTTTGACACTCAAAAAGTCCACAATGTATAGTTGGCTTGGCATCCCTTCTAGTTGGCATTGACCTTTCTTTCTTTCTCCTTACATAACGGTAGTTGCAAGCATTAACAAAGGCTTCTCTACTTGGGTTCATGGAATAATATACAATAATGTACTTTTTTTTTTTTTTATTTGTCGGATAATAATTGATTCATTCAAAATTTTTAAATGTGTTATAATCGTTAATGGTGCTAATGTGGGTTTGGAAGCCTAAACCAAACTAATTCTAAGCTACTCCACAAGTGTTTGTTTTGGTATTCTACTTTACCAATAATGGGTTTGATGGAGTTTAGTTCATGAATTAGATGAATTTTGATTAGGACATAAACGTCCTTCTTTTGGTATTTTGGTTAAATATGTATTCAATTATACTAAATAAGATTAATCAATTAGATTGATTAAACTAATTAGTTCAACTTAGATGCTGAAGGAGGGGATTGGGGACGAGGGCCACCGCCCTCTAACCTTTTTTTTTTTTTTTTTTTGTTAAATATGTATTTCAATTATTACTAATAGAATTTAATGCAATTAAGATTGATTAAATAATTCGTTTCAACTTAGAGTGCTGAAGGAGGGGATGGGGACGAGGCCACCGCCCTCTAACCTTTTTTTTTTTTTTTTTCTTAATTCCCATGAATTTATGTGTATTTTCTTATTTTATCCCGTCTAGATTTCTTCTCGCTCTTGGGCCTTCAATTCTTTAGCTCTGTCAATTTTATTCTACCTCAGTTTAAATTTAAATTATTATTTTTTACATCTTAGTATTATTATTTATAAACTTTTTTTTTTTATTATTTTTCCCTAAATTTAGATGGACGAAGATTTGATTAAATTCCAATTCCATAAACTTGTTAGTTTGACCCGAAAATTCATTTGGTTAATAGTTGGATTTCAAAAAAAAAAAAAAAAAAAAATGTAAATTTAAAAATTACAAAGTAGATCGATGGACTTGTGTCAAAATTGCCAACCCTAACCATAATTCTCTCATTAACCATAATTGAAGTTTTTAAATATTTAACTGTTTCAGCCATTAAAAGGACTATGTAAAGGGGAGAATCAAACCTTCTTTTGCTAGCTTTTTGGTAACTTGCTTAATTATATATATTATTGATTTTAAAATTTGTTTGATGAAGGTGTGGTTTGGGTTCGTGGAAAGTTGCACAATTTCACACATGTGCATAAGCTATTCAAAAAGGCCAAGCACTATTTATAAAGTATTAAAAATACAAAAAAAGAAGAAGCACATCAGAATTTAATATATTATTATATCATATATATATATAGTATTATATCATAATATAGTTATATTATATATATCTGTAACGCATATAATTAACATAAAATAATTAAGTTTTTCATCGTGTGAAAATGGGAAGCTTCCATTTATGGTGGGAAAGAAAAATAACAAGTCTCTTGTTTATATGTTATAAATGTTTTATTAATTTATAATTTTATATGATAATAGTCAGCATTTCCTTTTGCAATTTTACAATTACGAACAAATATAAACTTCCGACTTAATTTTATAAAAAATTTAATGCACTCTTAACTTTTATTTAACTTATTAAATGTTTTAATTTAAAAATTATATCTGCTATATATTTAATTTATAATTAATAATTATTAGCATTTATTGGATTAATAAAAATATGAAAAATTAAATATTTAAACAAATTTGGTGTCAAAAATATACACTTAGACTCCCTAAAGATAGATATTTACATCACTCTTGAAAATTACGAAAATAGATATATTCATTTCAAGAAATATTATGTATATAATGTTGAGGCAACTGTTAGATTTTTTTTTTTTTTTTTTTTTTTTTTTTTTTTCAGTTTTTTTTTTTTTTTTTTTTTTTTTTTTTTTCAGTTTCCTTTCCATAAAATTTGGGAGCCTTTTAGCCATTATGCAAATTAATCCACCGCGACCATGTTCATGTATCCACCGGAAGCAGAACTTGCATTAGCCAAATGATCTGTTGGCGGAATAGAGTGCTCCAAGGACAGCTTGTCTATGTGAAGCTGATGTTTCTTCATTTAGTGGCAGTATAGGGAAGATCATCAAATGTAATAGGGCTATTACGAGCCTCAATGGATTCTGTAAAGAGTTGGTAATCAGCACCAAGGCCTTCTCTGAAATGGGACATTGAAAAGTATGGAGTTTGATCCAAGTTATATGGAGTGTCAACATTAATAATTTGAAGAAGGATGGTTTCACTAATGGAGGCAAAAAGCTAGCTCATAACGAACCAGTCATATCTGATTTATAGTCTGTATTATGGATTAATAGAGCCATCGGGATTTTCTTTTGGAGGTGAAGTTATTGTGGGAGAAACGTGGTGATTCATTGCCGATGAAATCGCGGGCAAGTTGCGTCTGGAGACTGTAACCAACACCTTCAATCCTTTTTCTGCATTTCAATCTCTTGTTGGTTTTTTATTGAATTGCAGAAGTGTCGACAGTGCGGTTTTGCTAGTAGCAAGGTTATTGCCCACAAGGCGTTTGTGAAATTGACTTCAAGAAAATAAGTTTTTCTTAACCTAAACGTAAAAAGAAAAATAATGGTCCAATCCAAACTCATTGGAGCTGATAAAATTAAGCTCATTCCCATGGTTGAGTGAAAGATTATAAGACTGAAAATAATACCAAACAGAGGATCTCACAAAAAGAATCATCAATAACATCTCATACAATAATGGAAGACATATAATCATAGACCAATAGACATGGTCAACCAAACAAAAATACCAATGGAATATAAATAAGCTATAGTGTACGTATAGTACATGTTCTAAAACAAAACCATGGCAATAGACAAAAGGGAAATGAAAAATCCAGCAGTAGCTTTAGAAGGGGCTGAGCTAACTGGGCCAGGAGAGGGAGACACAGTGACAGGATTACTTGTGCTGCTACTTGATGGCGGATGGGCTATGCTAGGAGGCAAAATGCCGCGGCTGGTAAGTACCTTAATGGCTAGTTTTTGACCCAAGGCACAGCGGTTTGGATAAGTGGAAGTAAAGAAATAATCACCACTTGTATTGAGCAAGATCCTTGCAGGGCTTGCAGACCAAACTTGGATGGTGCCATTTGTGTTGCAAGTCTCATAGGCTTCTTTGCTTACTAAGGCTACATCTTCAAGTCCATTCACGAAGTTGAAAACTGCAACACAATTAATTGAACTATATCAAGAGTTTAAACTTCAATTTGATCAAGTAATTTTCAATCCCAAAGAAACTGAGTTTACCTAGAGTGTCTTCAACCAGGAAAGTCTTGTTATAGGCCCAAGCCAAGTAAGCCAGTGGACCACCAGGAGGAACAAGCCACCCCAAGCCATCTCCGACAGTATAGGTAACTGGGGCTCTAGGTGAAAGTGGTGAAGGTGCTGTGGGTGGATGATGAGGATAATGAGGTGCAAGATTTGATCCAGGGGGGGTTACGGAAATGGCTAGCCTTTGGCCTAGTGGGCAGTGTTTTTCTATTGTACTTATAAAAAAGTATTCACCAGTAGTGTCTAATGTAAAATTTGCTGGACCAGTTGTTTTGAGAGAGATAGGGTTTGTTGAGTTGCAGGTTAGATATGCTTCCTTTGTCACTCTGGCTACATCTTGTGATCCTGTTGTGAAATTGAACACTGAAAAAGGAAAAAGAAAAAGAATCAAAATTTCAAGTGCCTATTACCAAATGCTCAAATACCCAAGTAATTTCTAAATTTCAAGTATTCAAGGTCTAACATTGCACTTCTAAAAAATTTTTCATGTAACAAAAAAAAAAAAAAAAAAGTCCTACATTGCACTTCTAAAAATTTTTTCTATGTAACAAAAAAAAAAAAAAAAAAATGCATTTTAACATTATTTTTGCAGGTCAAGAAGAAGAGTATATACATACAGAGAACATCACCAACAGTGAAGGTGCTAATGGCAGCCCAAGCAGCATAAGCAAGATTACCACCAGGAGGCACTACCCATCCTAACCCATCCCCAACGACAATTGTTTTTGCTGTGGTAGTGTGTAGAAGTGAAGCAATGGCTAAAATGGCTAGAACACTAATGCCTATTCTTGACATTTTTGTTTGAAAGGTGGAATTTTTTTTACTTCTATGTTTGTCTATTTGGCCATTTTTATAGAGAGATTTACTTGTAACGATTTGAGATTATTTGACTAGTCCTCACTAATTAAACATGATTATTTCTCCCATTTCTATAGACTTTGTGCCCATCTTTGTCTTGAATTCATTGGCTAGTATCATTAAAATCTAGAAGCAATGGTGAAGGTCAATTAACATTAAATTAAATAAATTTGGATGATGAAGATAGAAATTGAAAAAAATATATAACTTGGAACACAAGATATGTTATTACATTGGCTTGGTGAATGTCTTCAATTCTGCTTAATTTACAGGGATTAAAAATCAAAGCACAAATGCACAATTGTCAATTCTGAATTGCCACGTTTTTTACATATTTTTGCACTTCAAATTTATTTTTAATATTTTTTTTTAAATTTTGGGTTAGGTAGTCAGAATTTCTTTCTCTTCGAGATATTTTATTTATTTTTTTATGTGTGACCCTAATTGCGCTGTAACTGTTATACTACTGCACTATTTTCATACGTTCTTGAAATGCGATGTGATATTGCCATATATTGAAAATAAGGCTTTAGCCAAGTGAAAAATTAAATAATTTTGCAAATGAAATATTATTTTTTTTCCCATTTTTTTGTATTTTAAAATTTTAAAATATGAGTTGGATTTACCTTGACTTGATATATAAATAGTTTAAACATTAAGCAGATTGAATGGACATATTTAATACATCCAGAGTAATTATATTTTTTTATCGAAAAAATAAAGGCAAACTAATATCAAATTACCATCGTTTTGGTAAATGACAATTAGCTGTTATATCGATTGGTATATGACTGCATCAATGTACTGAGCTTCTAGTACCTTCTGGTAGGTCTTGCGTATCACCTTATATATGCTTATTATTATATTTCAGTGCTAAATCATCTTCAACATTCAATGAAGCTTAATATAAATTAAAAATCCAAATTCTTGAAGATTATGAAGAACAGGTATACATCTTCTTCATGCACCAGTTGCGTGTGTATACATATATATATATATATATATATATAGTCAATGAAATTGAAATCTAGAAGAGACTAGAACTATAGAATCGTTCTTTGCTTATTGAGTAGGCTAGCTTCCATCACGGGCGCTTCATTATAATTAAGTATTGAGAGGGGCGAAAATTTTTTTTAAAAAAGCACAGTATTCTTTGTTTTTTTTGTTCATAAGGAACTCAAATGAGAGGTTTTTTTATATGCAGTTAATCTAATTAAAAATTATTATTATAATTATGGGTAGACGAGAAATGTTCAAATGTAAATTTAGTTTCTTAGAATTTTAAAAAAAGAAATAAAAATATCGACGAGTGTTGTAAAACCATATAATATAATGGGTATCCATTAAATTTATCAAAGAAATTATTTATCTCTTCAAAAGTTATATTCTTTTGAATAAAGGGTAATTTCCTTTAAGATGAATGATTATATCATTTAGTTTGTAAAGTTATATCTTTTAAAATGAAGAGTTATATCTTTTGGATCATATTTTATATCCTATAAATAGTTTCTTAATTCTTTGGATTAGATAGCTAAGATGCTAATACAAGAAATTAATTTCTCTCTATTTTTTCTAAATTCTTTATATTAGTTATATTTCTATATTTTTATAATATGTTATCAGCACGAAACTCTAGTTAAATTAGATGAATTTATTCCAATACTTCTTTGATTTTGTGGTATTGCTTTCTTGATCAACTTCTATGATACTTTCTCAATGAAATCGGATAAAGAGAGGATAACTCATAGTTTATGACAACCAAAGTTAACAGTTATATATATAAGGTTGCTTACGCTTGAAAAGTAATTCTATATATAATTTTGCCTCATATATATTTATATTTGAATTATAAATATAAGTTCCATATTAAATTTTATATTTGATTGGTGGTTATTCAAAATATAATTCTAAAATCAAATTAATATGTTTTCTCCACTAGATATTTTTAACCAATTTCACTATCCACTTGATTTTTATCTCATAAAAATGTGAATAATTTTTTGTACTTTATTGAATATGTTCCTGTAGTAGTTATTTATTGAAAACCAAAAAATATTATTACATATCGCATTTGTTGGATTTTAAAGTTAATTTTACTCTTTTTTGTTTAATTTATAAATTTTTCCTCTTTTTTGATTATGGATCTTTGAAAGAAGTTATAGATATGTAGTATATATTTATATTTGAATTATAAATATAAGTTCCATATTAAATTTTATATTTGATTGGTGGTTATTCAAAATATAATTCTAAAATCAAATTAATATGCTATTTTTGTTTTATCATGTCAAATCCTATAAAACATGTCAAATCTTTGTACGTGGATATCATGTGTCCTGAAGATACAATAAGAAAAAAAAAATCAAGGAATCAATCAAAATTGCATTAAAGCAATAATTTTCTTCCACTAGATATTTAACAATTCAATATCCACTTATTTTATTCATAAAATGTGAATAATATTTTGTACTTTTGAATATGTTCCTGTAGTAGTATTATTGAAAACAAAAAATATTATAACATATCGATTGTTGATTTTAAGTTAATTTTACTCTTTTTGTTAATTTATAAATTTTTCCTCTTTTTGATTATGGATCTTGAAAGGAAGTTATAGATATGTAGGGTATGAAGTTTCATTTCAACACCTAAAATTTTAAATAAAGAGAATTGTCTATCGCCAAATTTATTAATTGTTATGAATCCCAACATTACAGAAAAAAGAATAAGCAGCTAAAAATGCTAATTACTTAAAATATAACTATTACTATCAAATTTTGATCCCCTTATAGGAATGTATGAACTAGAACTTTAAAAGATAGTTATTTTGCAAACTATTGTAAATCACTTGCTTGCTAAACTTCTACTAGAATCGAAGACCTTGAGAGATAAAACTAAACTGCATATGTTAATAAATCTATTGCACGCCTAAAGTATGGTAGATTGATCAGGTCCAAGGACAATCATTGAAAATGAAAAGAAGTAAATATGTTATATTCTCCAAAAGAGATTTTAGACATGACTGATAAATAATTTTCAGAAATAACTCAGATGCGTTTCTAGGAAAATAATGAGATGGAATAAATATCAAAGAAAAGATGGAATCAATGGAAAATAAATATTAACTGTATTTTTACAAATGCTACAACACTTAATATTGTAAAGAATAGTGAAAATCTTGAATATAAGTCTTATTGGGACATATAGACATAATCATATTACTTGAAATACAAAATTTAAATTCTCAAGAAATTATATAGAGCTCTATATGGATTACTTAATAAAGATAGTCCTTGAAGAATTAAAACATAAAAATATATTAAAGATTTCTATACGGATTAAGAAAATCTAGTGGTATAATTGCCTTCAAAATATGGCTAAACAAATATCATGTCAATACATATAATCCAAAGGATTGAAACGAATTTATATGGATAAATGTCATCCATTAATGAAACCGATAGTTATGAAATCATTTAATAAAATAAAGAACTAATTTTGACCTCCAAAAATAATGAAAAACTCATTGGTTATAAAGTAGTATATCTTTATGCAATAATCAAAATGTCCTGAAGTACCATAGTACCATATTGAGTATATATCTTGAAGATCATTATACCCAAATGTCATGGTGCCAGAATCTCGGAGCCTGGCACGCATGTGGCGCCTAGAATTAACTCATAACCTAAGCTAGCCATGCATATTCGAAGGGTCTTTGCATTCTTTCCGAATGTAGGACTCATCGTGCAATGCATATCTAAGTATCTCGCACAACCGTATATGGGCTCAATGCCTTCAGGCATCCCGAACAACATAGTCCTGCTTATACCGAAACCCCCACTTCAAGAGAGACGCGCACTATAGGCCCTTAGTCCTATAGTGTCCATAAAGCTCCTTCTCTATAGAGACATCAGTCCCTCTTAATAGAACATAATGCCCCAGTCCTTCTTAATAGAACATAATGCCCGCATCCTAGCTCACTAGGGCCTAGGCCCGCATACAGCAGAGAGCATTACGCCGGATCTCCTCTCACATTCTTAGTCCAAATGCCATTCAATATGCTATTCTCATTTCCAATGGTCTTACTTCGTCCATAGGATCACCATGGTATGGCACTATAGGTAGGGATGATTGATATATAATTCACATTTCTCAACATCACAATTCATGAAACAATCCAGTAAAGTGTCTAGTCGAAATTTTAACATGCACAGTTATTTATCTTAACAGTTATGCACAGTAAAGTGTCTATTTCTTATATTTCTTAACAGTACTATTTTATTGTTGATTAAAAGGACAAACTACCTATCCATTACCCGTTTAATACCTGACTTTCAATTGAAGTTAATTAAATTTTCCCACTTCGAACTTTTTGAACATTCAAATCAACCATATTAGTTATATTACTTTGTTTGATAATTATTTTTTTTCTTTTATTTTTTATTTAATTTGTAAAAAATGTTCCAACAATAAAAAATATATAATTTATTACATAGTGTGGCACCAATGCAGTACAACATCACCAAACCGTATCGTACATTACTTAAAAAATAATAAAAAATAAACACAAAAGTGAACTTTTGGACAGAAAATCAAAGATACTTCCAAATGGTTCTCTTACTATTTCCACCAGTTGGAAAACCTTAATAAGCATTGACCTGCTTCACTTATATTCAAAATTTCAGCAAGTGAAAGAAGAAACTTTTGAATCCAAAAGAATAACAAATTCAGACTTTCAAATTGATTTAGAGCTATGAGAGTACACAATTCTATTCCAGCATTTTTTACTTTTAATTGATGCATGCTCTTATTTGTTGGTTATTTTGCTCTTGTAACTGCTGCTAGAAAAGGAAGGAAAGGAAAGAAAAAGAAATCACTATTTTGAACATGTTCATTAAAAACAATGAAAGATGATTTAATATAAACCTAACTTACAGTCAAAACAGGTAGAATTAAGAACCCCCAGCCCTCACTGGGTGCTCTCTCGTTTCTTCTTTCACCTTCTTACTCTCTCCAAAATAAAATTAAAAGAAAAATCCAATGTAGGTTGAACATCTTATGCATATTAAAACACGACAAAAATGAAATGAGTTTCTTATAAATGATAAGCTTATAAATTTCCCAACTGCCAAGGAAAATCAGCCATACACTTCATGTCATTACACTTTGATATTATATAATGTCCAAATGTTATTTTGACATTGTTTCAATATTCCAAAAAAATATGATGTCAAAATGCAACACACCAACGATGAAAGGCATACACTAATGCAATCCTTCCTTCTGCAGGTGACAAACTTTTCTATACAAAAGCTGTGGCATTGCCAATAATTGTCAGTTGACTGATATTTTCTCAATCACCTTCCAACACCCCACAACTTATTATTTATTAGAAAAGGAAAACTAGGATAGCAGCTTTCACAAGATGTGAGAACGAGAACAAAAGGTATACACTCAAAACGCACAAATTTTCTTAAAATGGCAAATTGAAATGACAAAACTGGACATCAGAACTCCAAAGAACACATAGACAACACCAACCATTAATCATCATGCAATCAATACTTTCCCAAAATTCTTTTGCTTAGTTCAATGCACAAAATGATAATTCAAAAGGCATTTTGCATCTTATCATTCAAGTGCCACTCAGAAAGCACAGAATTAGCAACATAAAGCATGCAGTAGAAACAAGTTTATGCTGAAGTAAATCAAAGGTAAGTGAAGCACAAATGTTTCATACAGACATGATAAAGAACTTGTAAGGCAAAAACTTAAGGACAACTTATGCAGCAAAACTGAAATCATGTTAACCGCACATGGCAAGAGGCAATCTTACAAGTCAAAGCATCTTTGGAATTGACCCCAAGCCAGCAACACAGCTAGGCAGCCATCGTCAACATCAAAATGGATAGTATCAATAACGACCCGGTCCCATCAAGAAGGGCAGCAACAGCCCGCTACAGGTGGTTATTCATTAGTACTTGCACAAGTTACTCACGAACCCAAGAATATCACACAAAAGAACAGGTATCAGCTACCACTTCACAGCTACAATCACGGACTCGTATGCTACTCACTACATTAAGCAACATCAGTCAAACTTCACAAGTTGGGGTTAAAAATGGTATATTCTAATGAATTCCCCAAACAAATAATCAAACAGAAACATGTTACCATGACCAGTTACTTCAGCTGTGAAATTCAGAGCAGCATATTATGTTTGATATTTAGTATCAGCAAGAGAACTGCTGAGTAACAGGTCCACTTCATGTGCTGCATCAGCTATAGGTAAAACACGTTCATCTTGTGTGCAACTTTTAAACCATCACAGCAACTACAACCCCAATTCAAGACCATATTTCCAAAGTAAAACAAATACCAGAAAAAAAATCAGGTCAACATCAGATGCCTGAATGACATGGAAGTGTTTTAAAATCCAAAGACTAACTTCACATCTTACCAATCATCAGATAATTTTGAGTAATCAACAACCACGATCATCCATCTACATTTTACAAACAGCATCAACAGCCACAATAGCCACAACATCAACACTCTGGACATCTGCCCCCATAGGAATCTTTCCGGAACAAACTATAAAACCCAATAAATTAATTATTGTACATCAAGACTCCAATGAAATGAACACATAACAAAACTAAGCATACAGTTCGAAGAAAGGACCTCAAATTTCAAAATTAAAATCCAAACAAGAAAAAATAAAGGGTATAAGAGAAAGAGAGAGAGAGAGAGAGAAAGAGAACACATCACATAACCGACAACTCAAAATCTTTTACGGCTAGTAGAACAGGAAACCTACAAACTAAAAGCTCCATACATACCAAACTGACCCAGTCAAGTGTGGGATGCATAAGGTTCAACATGTAAGTATTTAGGCACCAAAATAAATCCAACCCCAACAAAGCTAGCACATAAAACTCTAACCAGAACACTTATGATGCTCGTAAGTCCTCAAGATTAGTAACATGGCTATAATAATTGCAACAGTCTCATGTCTCCACATCTTTCCCTTACAGCTGCTCGTTCATTCCTACAAAAAAAATTCAGAACAGATAAGTAATCAACCTATGGATGCTATAAGCAATAAAAAATTGGTCAAATAACTCACATCAACATCTGAATTTCGACGGGATGGACTACGAGAAGCAGCAGGCCAGCCCCGTGGGGAGGCACTTCGTGGAGTTGGAGAACGACCATCACGGCTGCGCCTATCAGGGCTTTCACCCTTTGAAGGAGAATTCTTGCGTGGGGAAGAACTCCTTCGAGGACTTGGGCTTCGTCTAGGGGACGCACTAAAATATTGACGATGACAGCAAAAATTAATAAATGGAAGAGTTAAAAATAAACCACTTATATCAAACATACAAATTTGCAAACCTATCAGCCGATCTACTGCTACTCCGCCGTTCATCATCATAACGGCCTCTGCCTCGACCTCTAGAGTAATCAGGACTGGCACTGCGACTCCTGCTCCGTCGACGATGGTCTCTATCCTTACCACGACCCTTGTCCCGCTCATATCTGTCCAAGCTTCTGCTGCGACTTCTCCTCCTATAGTCCCTGTCTTTATAGTCATCTCGGTACCTGAAGATTAACATCCGGCACATTACTACAGATATAAGCTTTATCACAAACAAAAGCCACACTCTAGCCTCCAATTTAGCACAATACATCAACCAGACCCCAAATAAAATTAACTGCAGTATCTAATTACTGCAGAACTATAATGGATAAGATCCTAGTAAACAGTTGAAAAGGCAAACAAAAAAAGTAAATTAAATTTAAGACATGCACAAGTAAAGAGAGCAAATTTGCTCACAAAAACACTATGTTGCATGGAAACGGAAACAAAGGAACAATATGGGTAAAGACATTTAAAATATAATTTTACACGGAAAGAAAGTATTTTATACTGGGAAACATTTATGAAATGTGGAAACGCCCATGACTAGGAGGTCCCATGCATCATAGCAAAAACATGTGCATAAAGCACAAAAAATCTCACAAGGTAACAGTTGTTCAAGCACAATTGATGCCTTGGAACTATATTTTCTAAGTCAACTTGCCAACAGAAACATTATTCCTTGGAGCAGAAACAAACTCAGCATCAACATTCTTTAAAACTTGAAGAACAGTATGTGATCCATGTGATCAAGTTAGAATCGCCATTATGCCAAAAATAAAACAGTAGACAAAGGCTGAATTCTTGGCGTCTTGTCATATTACTCATAAAGCCAACAAATCCAAAACCCACCTCATCCTTTAGAAAGAAAATCGAAAAAAACAAGACAGAAGAATAGTTACCTTCTTCGAGGACTTCGACTTCGGGACTTGTTTCTAGACCTTGGAACAGGTTCAATAATCCTTCCTTTATGACTAGCATAAAAATAACAACTAATTCAGTAAATGAAGACTAAAATCAAACACCACCATGCATTTAAGTTAGACAAACAGGATAACAAGATAGTATTCTACGGCAAAAGAAAGTAGCTTCTACAATGGAAATCAGAATTATAATGAAACGTTATAAGCAATAACATGAAGCTTACATTCTCTCAGCATTGGGACCATATTTTGCAAATTGAACTGTTATTTCACGCCCATCAACAACTCTTCCTGAGGAAAAAAAAAAGGAGACAGATACCAGGGAATCAGAATATGCATATACGGACCTACGCTCATAGAAAGGTGGAGAGAAACAAAAACAGATGGTATACCATCTAGCCTATCAACTGCCTTCTGTGCCTCATCTGCATACTTATACCGCACAAATGCAAATCCTCGCGAGTCACCAGTCCTACACAATAAAAAATTATTAAAACAGTCATAATCACCAACCAAAATCAGTAATGATATTAGTAATAGGGCCAAAAGAAAAACAGAAAATGCCATTGGCAATTAGTTACTATAACACCAAGAATGACAATTTAACTACTTTTTACTTCAAAAAGAATGTCTTCGAAATTATCACCACTTAAAAGGCTCAAATAATCAGAATAAAGATACTTATTTTAACAAATTTAGCGTACTCTTATTTTCATAGCTAAGGAAGAAACACAAGAATTTTAACATCCTTCATGTTACTTCTTTTTGTCTACCAACTAGCAAATTCACGCATGAATGAAAACTACTCTGGGATTCTATAATATATTCAAATGTAAAAACTAGTCCCTGCCAGCATGCCAAAGCCCAATCCACAAAATAAACACCACACACTCAAATCCATCAGAACCATTCAAAAGCAAAACACATATCCACGACGCACATGGCAAAAGACACACAAGTGCCACATGATGTAGCAAGTTGATAGGACTGAATAAATATGAAGTCCAAAAGTAAAGACTTAAGAAATTATCATCAGTGAATAATATCAATCATCAATAAACTATGTATTAAAGTAGATTCTTAAAATTTCCAATTCGCTCAACCGATTGTTCTCTAATTTTCAAAATTTTTGAATTTCTAAAGATATGTAACATCACTGGAGAAAACTCTGAGCTTTACAATTCACTCATGTTACTAGAAGTAACATTAATATCTTTATCAATTCTTTTATTCATTGGATATTTACATATAGAGTTTTTGATATTGGATTAATCTTATATTTGCATTGTATTGATGGATATTTATATTTTATAATATAACCTCTATTATTCTAAATCAGCCAGAATAAAAGGCAAAGGATAGAAATTTAGCTCACACAATAAACAAACAAAGTTATACAGAAACTTAAAATAACACATATAAGCGCAGCCCCGCAGGCCGGTAATCTTTATAAAGGCAAACCCATATGGTAAATACATTGCACCAGGTTTCTTAACCAACTACTCTTGCGCGTTTGTTATCTAAGAAACCCAAATCGACACCTACCCATTAATACATACAACATTACACATTACCTTCATTCAATGCAATTAAGAATTTCAATTACTTTCTTCAACCAACAACTATAATCAAATAAAAATCAAACATTCAAAATAAAAATAAGTAAACAGAAAGAAATAGTTCTCAAACACCTTCGATCTCTGGGGATAAAGATGTCAACAACCTTCCCATACTTGTCGAAAAGCGGGAACAGATCATCAGCAGTCGTACCTGATAAACCATAAAAAAAAAAAATAATACATAACCAAAAAGACCAATATAAAAAATGAAGAGCAGAACGAACGACGGAGGGATACTAACGAAAGGTTATGTTGAGAACGAGAAGAGAGTATGTGTCGGTGATATCTGGAGGACCAGACCTGCCAAAGTGAGACATTTTTGGGTTTCGTTACAGAGAAAGAGAGGGAGGGGAAAAAAGAGAGAGGATTAGGGTTCGCTGCTCGGCGAGAGCTCTTTGAAAAAGAACCTTCTTGAATTATCCTGTTTGGTTATACAAATATGAAAGTTACGTAATTGCCCTTAATATTCCCATTTTATTGCAGTCAGTGCCATTATAATAGACGCTACTTGCATTTGTCAATTTGGTCCCCAAGTTTATTAATGAAGTATAATTGGGATAATTATTAGTTCCTTAAGTGTGGTCAAATTAATTATTTAGACTACAATGTGATTAATATTTTTAGTTATTATATATATGAAAATGATAAACCTACTTCGTCTATACATTCTGTTATTTATGCTAAGTATAAAGAAGCTGAGCCTAAACCAATTATTCAAACATTAGTAAAACCAAGGTATTCTACTTCGGATATTCCAAATTTAAATCCATCACTCAAAATGAAAGGGGTTGATTATAGTAGTTCTATTCCACAGGCAGTTTATAATCCTGTTGATAATTACTTAGATCAACAATCTAATTTGGTAAATTCATCACCCGAATCACCAACAGCTTCAGCTATAACTGAAAATGTTAGTGATATACACAGAGAATTAAATGTGCTTAGTAAAGATGCTATTGAGAAGAGTTTAATAAAAAAAATATCTAAAACAAAAAATTTAATCAAAATGAAAAAGATATTAAAAACATATACTTTTGAAGAATTGAAATATGAATATTTAGAATATAAATTAAGTAATCAAACTGAAATTAAATTCTTTGTGCTATTGAGAAGCAGTTTAATAAAAAAATATCTAAACAAAAAAATTTAATCAAAATGAAAAGATATTTTAAAAAACATATACTTTTGAGGAATTGAAATATGAATATTTATAGAATTAAATTAAGTAATCAACTTGAAATTAAATTCTTTGATGGTATTAATTATTAAAACAATAATCTATAAAAGTATCATCCAATAACTATTCAAGATAAAAGGACTGAATGGATTACGTAAATTGAACAAACAATAAATGATTTTCCTCCTAAAACCATAGTAAAATTAAAACATATCAGCTAATGAGCATTACATGTGCTTCATATAATTGCCTCAAGAAAATGATGCACAATAAAAATAGTAATTGGAAACAAAATAATTTTAGTAATGCTAGTTCTAATTTGCTTAAATTACACAGTTAAAAAGAATTGAGAATTTAGAGATAACCTTGTATGGAAAATATAAAGGAAAGAAGAAATTAAACACTTCACATCTTTTAACCTTTATCAAATTTCACAGTCTTAGTAAAAACGAATAATTTGTAAATAAACTAAAAGATCAATTAAACAAACTTGAGGTGAGATCTGAAACTACTCAACAAGTAGCTCCTGACACTCCTCAAGCATCAAATATAAATCTTTTGGACGAGAACACTAATTCTGAAGCTGGTGAATTGATTTTACAAGATTTTACAAAATAATTATAAGCAATTTTGTCGTTTTAATGGATTGAATTTTACCAACAAAAGGACCGTTTAAAGCAAACTAAATTAAAATCTTACCAGTATGTTGATTTTTAAGTAAAATTTACTAAAGGTCAATATACATACAAATAAGAATACTGTGATCAATAGGATCTATAAATACATAAATATAATTCATGTCTTTATCAATCAAATTTTATAAACAATTTTTCTGATGTGGAAGATCAGAATAAGGCTCCATCCACAGAGCATACTTATTAATCAATTTAATTTTATTGTTAAATTATAATTTCAACTCAAACCATTTTATTAATATATTTTCACAAGGTTTTAGGGTTCCTGCACCTTAACTGGGCATCCCGTAATCAATGTATCAGGAGTGTGGAGGGCAGAAGAAGAAGGTGCGTTAACACGGCTTTAGAAGTAGGCCAGTTTATAACCAAATTTTTATAATTACAAAAATTTAAATAACAAATTTAAATTGATAAGCTCAACTAGGTTTTATCTTACAATGAACTTCGACCTTGAATCCTTACAATGACAGTGAAGGGAGGGAAGGGAGAGTATCAGTGTAAGGGTTTTAAGGGTTTTATCTCTAATCTAAGCTTATGCCTTCACAAAGAGGAGAGGCTCTCTTTAAATAACAAAATATGGAATCTTTACTATTGATGTACAGTACGGTGTCTGCCATTATGCTTTTACTATGGATGAACAGTGAATTGTCGGTCACTGTACCTGTGCCTTTTACTGTTGAAGATGCTCTTTACAAAGTATCCGAGGAAGAGGATGAAGAAGAGGACGATGAGCTGTCCTGCTTTTTCTTTTTCACTCTCTCTTTTACTTGTTTTTTCTTCTTTTCCTTGTGCTTTAATTTTGCTTTAGCTTTAGCCTTTTGACTTGCTTTGCTTTTAAGTTTAATGGCGGATTTAATGCTTTCTCCATCATCATCATTATCCGTGGATGAATTGGAATCTGACGACGATGATACTGACGCCCAATTTATCTTTTGTTTACCTTTGCAACTGGTTTTGGAAGATTTACTGGAAGAAGATACACCAAGTGCTTTACTGGAGGATGGTTTTACCATGGGGTTCGAGTCAGTTGATAACTGTTCGAACATTTCTTGACAAATGAGTTTATACTCCTCAGGATGCTGCTAACGAGCTTGACATTGGGCCTTTTTGGATCCCAAATTGTTGGATTTTCTGTATAGCAATGTGCTAGCATAGGTTAAAGCAGGTTAATTGGTGGCTCATTTATGCGAATCCATGACCCAATTTAAGTGTCAGTGGTGTTTCTTGACAAGCTCGCCCAACCATTTATTGTATGGCTGTTTTGCACTACATTGGGAATTTGGGTTCCCGGAATATACTGAGGGAATCAATAATCCAATGGTAAACCCAGTGTGAAGAAGGTCATACAATAATACATCAGGGATTGTATATGTACTTCTTTTAGGTGTAGGTTTATAATTGGGGTTTAAAGAATTGAAATAAATAATGGATTTCATGAGGCATAATATCCTACAGAAAATGCCTTTAAATTGCCACCATCGTTTAAACCAGTTAGTAACTTTACCAATTTTTAGTAAAAAGTTGTTGGTCAAAATAAATCAAAACCAAGATGTGTATAAGTGGGGAATTTTTGAATATTTAAAAACTTTTTCCACGCTTCTTATAATCAAAATAATTATAATGTACAATGGTTATAAAAATGTTTAAAAACTTTACTGGAGCTACAACAGAGAAGATACGGGCCATTCCTTAGGATAGGATGGATGACGCGTTTTATTTGTATAGAAGAGTAAGAGATTATATTTTTAATATTTTTATCAAAAGTATGCTTAATTTTTACTGATCCTGTATCAACTAAAATATTACTATAATATTCCTGAGGTTTGGAAAAATCAGTTGGCATAAAATACCAATTCTCAGGATAAAAAGATTTTACTATTTGCCAAGGATTGATATGATTATACCCATCCTCAATTTCTATTTCAAAATCATACATAGGTTTAGAAAACCATTTATAAATATTATTAGATTGGATTTTTGGCAAATCCACAGCCATCATGTTATTCTTGTACCGGCCTACCGTTTTGAGACGGAATAAGCCGTATATAGCGGATATACCGTTTGAGACGGAATAGCCGTATCATGAGCGGATATGATCGCTTTAGATTTAGAAGACATACCTGTATCCTCCGCTGAAGAGGATGCCATAGACTGTAATGCTTTAATAACTTCTGGAGATTGAGAGAGTTATTCAATCCATTATTTAATGTAAGGTCCTTTTTGTTGGTATCAGAGCCTTACATTTTAACAATTTCTATTATCTATATTAATAAAGAATCTATTTGGACTGCTCATAGATGGTTTTGGGTATGCCTACTGAACCCGTTTGATAGCCATGTGTTGAAGGCTGAGTTAGGGTATAACCAGCGACCTGTTGAGATTCTAAAATGCGATCCTTTTTATGTAGATTCTTAATAGTTAGTGTTAATCGGAAGGACTACAGATTCTTCAGAATTAAAAGGGTCATAAATAGAAAATGAATTGATTTTACAAGATTTTTATAAAGCCATTAATGAATGGGAAATACCTAAAGTTGATAAAGAACAGATTTATAAAAGTTTCAAAAATTTAATTTATTTAAAAACGATTATGTAATTAAAACTGAGAACGAGATTTTAATTAAGTAACCTTTGAAAGGTAACTTCTCTTTGTCTTCTAAAACATTACAACACCATAAAAGTAAAAATAAATATATTGCATTAGGCTTAATACCAAGTTAGGAATAACTTTTAACCACGAGAAGGATTAGAACACTATATATTCGTTAGTAAGGGATGCTAGATTTTTTAAATTTTCAAGATTCTTTTGTTAGGAATTTCTGTTTGAACTAGTCTTAGTGAAGGGCCTATTTCTTTTGAAGTATACCCAGAATATTGACAGTTTCATTAAACTCGCTCTCTCTCTCTCGCGCTCTCGCTCTTCGAATAAAACACATAAACACATAATTATAAAATGAAACAGGGATCAATTCCTATCGCTTTAATTTATAAAATTCATTATAAAGCCATGAATTCAGCTTTTGGTACTAAATATAAATTACAACCTATAGAAAGAACTCTTGTTTTCGGAGAAAAATTTCCAGGTGAAATTACTAATAAACTCCAACTACAAAGATTCCTTGGTTGTTTAAACTATGTAATTGATTTTTATCCTAATTTAAATTGTTTAATAAAACCATTACATGATAGATTAAAAAAAATGCTAGTCCTTGGACGGATAAGCATACTCAATTAATTAAACAAATAAAAACCTTAGTAAAAGAAATACCTTATTTATATATTCCTAATCCGACAGCATTTAAAATAGTTGAAACAGATGCTTCTGATCTAAGATATGGTGGTATTTTAAAACAGAGATTATCTGATAAAGAGCGAATTATCCAATACACTTCGGGTCATTGGACTCCTGCTCAAACGAATTATTCTACTATTAAAAAAGAAATTTTAAGTATAGTAATTTGTATTAATAAATTTCAAAGTGATCTTTTAAATCAAAAATTTTTATTACGAATTGATTGTAAATCTGCTAAAGATGTTT